TTGCTCAGAGGCAAAATATACATCAACCCGTTCATTTCATTTCGAGGCGCGAGAGAGACGGATAGAGAGAGAGAGAGAGAGAGGGGGGGGGGGGGAATAAGGGGAAAGGGACGCGAGTGGAGGGGAGGTGAGCCATATAGCGCGATGGTGACTCGATTATCCTATCGCTGGGCCGCATTTTTTCCGAATAGCAGTAGTTGTGCCCCTAAAGGCGCGCAGCCTATGCTTATCTCCCTCATAATTCCCCGTGCCGCGTCTCAAGAACAACCCTCACTTTATCAACATGCCCCCCCTCTTCCCTTCTCACCACCAGCTTCGCACTTTCCTCCCCTCGCCCTCTCCGCTCACACCTCTCGCGTACGTCCAAGCCCACGTACCAGTGGACATCCTACGCAGAGCTGTGTACGACCGGCGTCGAGGCACCCGTCCGCACCTCCCACACTCCTTGGAAGAAGTGCAACGGGTACTGAACAGCCCCCAGTTTGGGCACCTGGCGCGGTCGCAACCAAGTCCTGTTCCAGGGGCTGGTTGGTCCCGTTGGCTGAGTATTGCTTACATCAAGTATCAGAATGTAATGTCAACATCTCTGGTGTCTTATAGGAGTTCAAGAAATGAACAGGTCCTATGTGAGGACAACTTATGGGTGGGTTGGTCCGTTGAGCCACAAAAATTACAGAGTACACAGAATTTCAAAGCACCTGGTATGTTACTCACCTTTTAATATCACGGTCCACAGCATCTGTCCAATCTGGTTCATGTGCTCTACGACGGGACCTCCCATGCTCTAGCTCTTCTACGCTGTGAACAGTTTTGAATAAAATCAGGTAATATTTCCAACTAGGATTTTTTAAATCTTTGTTGGGCACACAATAATTTTCCAGCCGAAAATTCGTCACAGTTTTTAAAGGGTGAAGGGTTGTAGCAAAAGTAATTTGAAGCTTTATTACTAGCAAGAGCTTCCCCACACAACAACAATTTTTTATCCAGAAGTAGAAGCGCATATGTGACAGATAACTGAATGTTTTTTTTTTTCTACTTTTAGGTAGTTTGAAATTTTTAGGGCAGCACAACTCCGAAAGATTAGAAAGTAAGTTAGTTAACTCACCATGTTTTAACCTCTTCGCACACAACATGCCACGGATGCCACGCAATGGCCATCTGCACGGGACGCTGGCTCAAGTTGGACTGCGTTGGACCACGGCGACCACGGCTCCGCGCTCCGCAGCTCCGCACTGCACCTGACCGAGGACACTAAGACGTGGCGCCCCGCTAGGCTTTTGTGTCTCGGCCCTTTGTTGGAAGAAGTAGCAAAGTGGGGCATGCCCGTAGAGCCACCCACGCGCCCACTACTACGATCGTCTCATGAACAAATCCAAACTATTCCGGGAATTCTACTACGAGCGTACTCACCAGATAAGAGTTGACTGCCCTTCTAACGCCCCTCAGATCGCGTAGTACTACACGCCCACCGGTTACCGAGGGGCTTACCGTGACCGCCCCACGGCAGTGATAGTCACATCATGCGTCGATCCGGATTAACGAAACGAGTCGCCACCCACGCTGATGCGAGAAATGAATGAATGGGTTCAATTCTGCAATCAGGCTGAAGCATGTAATCCGGCAGGACGTAAGGCCCATATTTTCCGTGTTTCGTGTCTTCTGGCCCACTCTCCGCCTAGCCCGACATCCGATCGAGACATGACGAGACGCAACGATAGAAAGGGTTATGGGGAATTGGGACTTACTCCCCTCGCTCAATGACGCCAGCGCTGGCCGAGACCGGGGCCCGCGCGGCCGGGCCGGCGGGCAGCGAGTGTCGCAAAGAAGGCGCTGTCCCTCCGGCAGTTTTCATCGGAGGTGCAATTTAAACGCACCCTCAGGAAGGGCATAAGTTTGTGATTCTGCACGCGGCTGCAAAACGTTTGTACGATCAAAACTGACTCGGCGAGCCGCTGCCAAACAACCATTGCTCGTCGCCTCTCCCTCGCAGCCGCCGCCCGCTAAGTCCACCAGGGTGTCCCGTGCGTGTTTGCGCTCGCCGCGCTCGGTCAGGTTTAATCGGAGGCAAAATCTTAAAATACCTCTAGAACGTAGAAAGCTGGGTGATTACGATGGACGAAGTTGCGAGAGTATTGAATCAAAATTGACGGAGCATGATGACCGCAAAAACGCCTTGCACTGGCTCGCGTGGTCCCTGACTTTCCGACCCATACATTCTGACCACCGTATGCCGTTATTGATATTTTCAGAACGTATTGAATGAGAACAAGTTTGCACGAAATAGTGTAAATGTCAGCAAAGTATTTCTTCTCATATGGTTTCTAAGCCGAAATAAACTTAATACCAGGTGTACCTGGCGCAAAATTAAGCCGTTAATAAATTGTATACTGTTGGTATTATATCACTCTCTCCTCTACTTTGCCTTTGCTGCAGGTCGCCGACGACGACCCCGAGCGCGCGCTCCACACGGTGCCCAGCTGCCTCGCGGTTCACGACAGCAAGATCGCCGGGGCGGGGGCGGGCCTGCGGGCGTCTGGGCCAAGGAAGTCATCCCCCGACGGACCCGCTTCGGCCCCTACGAGGGGGACGTCACCAGGACGAAGGACACGGGCACGGGCTACGGCTGTTCGTAATATGAAGCAGAAGTTGTTTGTAATATGGCTGCTCCAGATCCTATGTACTTACAAACTCGATTCTACGTAATATGTCGGCTGTTGTTCGTAAGGAACTAACAGTGTTCGTCTCTCTCTGTCGCACACACTCGCACGTTGTGTAGCGCTCGCAGCCCTCTCGGGGTCGCCCTGGCTACGGGGCCGGAAAGTTAAACAAGTGGAGGACAAACTTGGCGGCGGCGGCGGCGGAGGAAAGGAAGAGGAAGAGGAAGATCGCGGCGCGGCGAGGCGCTGCGGATGCGGAGGCAGCGCTGCAGGCAACAGGTCTGTGAGGCCGCGGGGCCCAAGCGCGGGGCCGGCCCGGCCGCGCCCAGACCGCCCAGACTCGGGCCGGGGTCGGTCGCGGCCTCGCGGAGCAAGCTGGCGGCAGGCCTCGCTAAATTTTAATGAGCGTGTATCGTGTGGGTAATGGAGGCGCCCCCACACACAACATACCACTTGGACGGACGCATTGAGCACGCGGTCCTGGCCGCGGGGTCCACCCGAGATGTACTTCGCTTTAAAAAATCAGTGTACAGTGCACCAGTACACCGTAAAAAAAAATCATGAAGAAAATCAGAAAAATTCCAGAAAAATCTTGAAAAAATCAGAAAAAAAATCAGAAAAAATCAAGACTAAATTGGAAAAAATCAGAAACATTAGGAAAAGTAAAAAAAGAAAAAGAAAAATTGGTATTTGCTTAAATTTGTAGTGAAATACACCTCGGGTGCACCGAGCAGATAGCCTCTCCTCGTATCTGAAGTCGGGGCGTCGCAAGGGCCACAGTGCGCACGCAAGACTGTAATTATTGTTCCGCTCGCTTTGCGTGTGCTGATCCCTCAACGCCCTTCTACCCCACCCACTCTCACTGATACTCTTGCCGGCACAGTATATCTCAGTTAGTCTCAGCCTGACCATTGCCCTCCCTCGCGGCGCAAGCCCTCCTCCGCCTCCCTCACCGCGCGCCCTCCGCCCTGCTACACCCCTCAGCCGGCAGTGCAACCCGTCAACCCGTCTCTCTTTTATCTTTTGTTCGCGACGCGTTAGAGAGTTGGAGTTCGGCGAGGAGAAAATAATTGGCAAACTCTTAAGCGGCGGCGGCGGCGGTGGCGCGGGAGTGGGATGCAAAGGAAAGGTGTGACTCCCCTCTCTCTGCTGGCTTTTTGCAGCGCCGCCCCCCGACAGGCCGAACTCTCACTCGGCACTGAAATGTTGAAATGTTTCGCGCGAAACAAATCAAAATCACTTCTCTGTCTGATGACTCGGCGGCGGCTGGTGGGTGCCGGCGGGGGGAGCGGTCCGCCCGTGACGAACTTCCCCTGGGCTCCCCTCCTCTTGGACCCTTCCCTCACTATTGCTCCGGGGGAATTTGATTACCCAGCTTTGGTGCTTTGTAAGTTTACGACCTGTGCGGAGCCTGCAGCGGCAGCGGCAGCAGACTGCTGCACCGGGTCTGGCGGAGGGGCTCAAGAGCCGTGCGGTGCGGGCGGCGGCGGGCAGCCCCAAGCCCAGCGCCTCCCCTTGTAGTACGGCTACGGCTCCGCCCGGCCCCGGCCCGGCTCGCAGCGACATTGACGCCCTGCACAAGGGACCGGCGGTGGCGGCGGGCGTCGTCCTCCACCTCACAACAAAAGCAAAGTGCTGCTGCCGGCGGCAGGCGACACATCGGTGGGCGGCGACGGCGGCGGCGGTGGTGGCTCTCCGCCTCGACGGAGAAAAACAACACCCTCTAGTCCGTCTCTGTGGCGCGGCCGGCGCGGCTCCTACACAGTGTCTCCAGTCTCCCCTCCCACGACACCGTTCACCGTTCGCCCGTAGCAGATTAAACGACGTTTTCTTTTCACACCGCGGCGTCGTGGCGGCGCCGTCACGCGGATGTGGCACGTGAGAGGGGCGGGGAGAGGCGGGCTGGAGGTGCGAATATGAAATTGTCCCGCAGCAATCGACTTCGCGCTCTCAATAGGAAGTATGTTTACCGAACCTGTTGGACAGCGTCGGTCGTGTACGAACGATAATGTGAGCCCAGCAGCCGGTTCATTGACCAGGGAGGGAGTGTTGTATTGCCACCCCCTCTGCTCCGTCTCTCATTCCCGGTTTTCGCGGCAAAGCGATTTTTCCGTTGATCGGCCGGCGTACGCGACGTGAAGGACATTTATCCCGGCCAGACCAGACGCGACACGGTTGTGTTTGTCCTGTTTGATACCCTTTACTTCTGGTGCTTTTTCTTGGTTTCTCTTAGTTCTTCATTTTCTGTTTCCTGTAAGTTCACATGAGTGGACAGCAGTTTATTTCCTCCTTGATCACAGTAGATTAAGTTATACTTCATCAATTTGGTAACGTGGTGACAACCTACTATGAACAGAAAAACCTTGCAATTTTGCTGTTACCCGATCTGAAGTAACAGATATCTTTCAAGGGAAATATCTTACTTACGAGGCAAACAATCAAAATTAGTTGCCAGTATATCATTTTGCCTTTTCCCCAAATTTTACAGTTCTTAACACTAAGAACTCTTGTTGAAAATTTTTGTCAACATAGGCACTGCAATATCTCATTACTTGTCTTTACTCAAAGTATAAAATAAATCTATGCTTATCATGCAAATGAAAAGTACTAAAATATCTATGGATTTTGTGTTGCTACTCTGGTGTTCTGGTGTTAAGTAATATAGTTACAGAAGTTAAGAAGGTTCCATTTTTTGTAGAGCTATGATGCAATTTAGTTCCTGATGCAAATACATAATTTTAGCAGTTGATATTATAATTTCCTCAAAATACTCTCATTATTGTTTCTTTTGTTACTGTTTCTAATAATTCTTCATTTTCTGTAGCCGTTCTGCTGTTGTCCGAGGCCGAGTAGTTACCTCTATGGGAATGGGTATGATGGGGGTCAGAGTTGGTACAACAAATATCAATGATGGATACACCATGACCCGTGAAGATGGATGGTTTGACCTACTCCTTAATGGGGGTGGTGCTGTCACTCTGAAATTTGGCCGCTCCCCTTTCCCAGCTGTTCAATATGTTGTAAATGTGCCTTGGAACGAGGTAACTATTATTATTGTGCTGAGAACCTAGAATTATTATATACTAAATGTGTCACATATTATCCTTTTTTCTCAATTTCCTCAGGTTGTGGTCATTGACACTGTTATAATGGAAGTGGGAGATGACAGATCTGCGATTTTAGCCTCAGCCTCACCACCATCTCAAGCCTGTCAAGCGCATGACTATGATGTGATGAAACCTGTTGTTTTGGCAACATGGAAACATGGATTTCAGGGTGCTTGCCCTGACAAAAGTGCCATACTTGTTGAATCTCAGGTGCGTTTAGTCCACAGACATTTGTTTAGATTTGCTCGTCTGCTCCCATCAATATCAGAGCTCAGAACAACAAATGCACTTTTGTTATGTTCCTCCCTTAGCCTCTATCTATAGTAGTATAGCATTTCATATCATGGAATTGTTATTGCTTTAATACTTTTTTATACTTACTCATTCATTGTACCATTATTTTTATTTATATTCATTTTTAGTTGAATGAAATTTAATTTTCTTATTCTTTCTTTAATTTTAGGTGGTTCAAGAAAGTATTCAGATCCCTGGTAAGCCTGAATTTGGTATACCATAGTTCTCGTTCTCCTGGATATTTGTCAACAATTCAATTACAACTTACACCTGAAGGTGTACCAGCAGCACTCAAGCTGATTCACTTACGCATCACAATTGAAGGAATCCTTTTTGAGAAAGTTTTTGAAGCTGACCCAGTCATCAAATTCACCTATGCTTGGAATCGACTTAATGTCTATCGGCAGCGTGTCTATGGTGTTACGACAGCAGTTGTGAAAGTAGGCTATGAGTACAGCAATTGTTCAGATATCATTTGGGATATCCAGACAACTAAATTGAGTGGCCATGACATGAGTATATCAGAAGTTGGTGGTTGGAATCTGGATATACACCACAGGTATAATTTCCACGAAGGAATTTTGCAGAAGGGTGATGGAACAAATCTTTATCTAAAACAAAGACCGCATATCATCAGAACAATTTTGGGTGATGGACATCAGCGATCTGTTGAATGCCCTGAGTGTGAAGTCGAATCACCAGCTGGGAGTCAGAGGCTACTGGCTCCAGTTGCACTTGCTGCTGCACCTGATGGTTCCTTATTTGTTGGGGATTTTAACTTAGTACGTCGAATTTTAGTTGATGGCACTGTAAGAACAGTTGTCAGACTAAATGCAACAAGAGTTGCCTATCGATATCATCTCTCCCTTAGTCCTCTGGATAATACGTTATACATATCTGATCCTGAAGCTCACCAAATTATTCGAGTAAGAAATGTTGATGATTATTCTGATCCAGATCATAATTGGGAACCAGCTGTTGGTTCGGGGGAGAGATGCCTCCCTGGTGATGAAGCACACTGTGGTGATGGAGCTCTAGCACGTGATGCCAAGCTTGCTTATCCTAAAGGGGTAGCAGTAGCTGCAGATAACGTATTATACTTTGCTGATGGCACAAATATTCGGATGGTTGACCGTGATGGCATTGTCACCACTGTTATCGGTAACAACATGCACAAGAGCCATTGGAAGTCAGTGCCCTGTGAGGGTACTCTGAGAGTTGAAGAGGTGCACTTGCGGTGGCCTACAGATCTTGCTATCAATCCTTTAGACAACTCTCTACATATTATTGATGATCATGTTATTTTGAAATTAACAAGTGACGGTAGAGTTAAAGTTGCAGCTGGTCGTCCCATTTTGTGCACTGGCCCTCCAGCTACACACGATTCAGAATTAGCAACGCATGCAGCATTAGTAATGCCCCAGTCCATTGCTTTTGGACCTTCAGGTGATCTATATGTTGCAGAAAGCGACTCTCAAAGAATTAACAGAGTCAGGGTCATTGGTACTGATGGTAAAATAAGTCATTTTGCCGGAGCAGAATCGAAATGTAATTGTTTAGACCGAGGATGTGACTGTTTTGAGGAAGACCACTACCTTGCAGCTACAGCAAAGTTCAATACTATTTCATCAATTACTGCCACACCTGATGGTGTTGTTCACATTGCAGACCAAGCAAATTACAGAATACGTTCTGTTACTGCTAGCATTCCTGAAGCAAGCCCAACCCGCGAGTATGAAATCTATCAACCAGAGACTCAAGAAGTATATGTCTTCAATAGATTTGGACAACACATTGCTACCAAGAACCTGCTGACTGGCGAAATATTGTACCTTTTTACTTACAATGTCAACACCAGTAATGGTAAATTAAGTACTGTTACTGATGCCCAAGCCAACAAAGTTTTTCTTCTGCGAGATTATTCTACTCAAGTCAATTCTATTGAAAATACCAAAGGTCAAAAGTGCCGTCTTCGAATGTCACGCATGCGCCTCCTTGCAGAGCTCTCTACACCTGACAACTATAATGTCAGTCTTGATTATCATGGACCAACAGGGTTACTGAAATCCAAACTCGATAGCACTGGACGAAGCTATGTTTATAGTTATGATGAATTTGGAAGACTTACTTCTGCTGTCACTCCAACTGGCCGCATTGTTGGTCTGGAATTTGATTTAAGTCAAAAGGGTGCAATGGTTCGTGTGAAACAGGATGGAAGAAGACCTGAATCTCTGCTAATTAAAGGATCATCAGTGGTCACAAAGCTTGGAGAAGCACGACAGAAGACAGTGTTACTTGCTGATGGTAGTGTTGCAACAACTGCACCTTGGGGGCACACTATTAGTACAGATACTGTACCTTATAATGTCCTCTCAGACATAGATCCAATGCTTGGTGAGAGTTATCCTGTGCCTGCAAAGCAGAGAACTGAGGTTGGTGGAGATTTGGCTAACAGTTTCGAGTGGCGTTATTTCCGTGGTCAAAGCATGCAAGGCCAAACCAACACTAAAACCAAAGCAATTACAAAAGTTGTGGGTCCTGTTGGACGAAAACTTAGAGTGAATGGGGAGAACATTCTTGCTCTAGAGTATGATAAGGACTCCAATTCAGTGGCAGTTTTCATGGATGACAGGGTTGAACTAATAAATATTACCTATGACCGAACTGCTCGTCCTATCAAGTGGGGTCCTAGAAATGGCATTTTCTCTGGTGTGGAGCTGGAGTACGATCGCTTTTCTCGTCTTACAAGCTGGAAGTGGGGTGAATTGAGTGAAACATATGGCTTTGACAGAGCTGGTCGTCTCAATGAAATCCGTTATGCTGATGGCTCATCACTGCAGTATGCCTTTAAGGACCAGTTCAGTAGTTTGGTAGGTATTACTCTGTAAATTTTGTTCTCTTTTTGGTTGCAAGTCACTGAAATTGGTCAATAATTTTTAATTTTTATTTTCAGCCCCTAAAGGTGACAACACCAAGAGGATCAGACTATCTATTACAATATGATGAAGCAGGTGCCTTGCAATCTCTTACCACTCCAAGAGGACATATTCATGCATTCAGCCTGCAAACTTCCCTTGGATTTTTCAAATATCAGTATTACTCCCCTGTTAATAGACATCCGTTTGAAATTCTTTATAATGATGATGGACAAATTATTGCGAAGGTATACCCTCATCAATCTGGAAGGGTTGCCTATGTTTATGATCAAACTGGCAAATTAGATACTGTCCTTGCTGGTATGTGTGAAACAGTTTGAGATATCTCAATTATAGTGTGTGGCATTTGTCTAATATCTCATTTTTCTGTGACCAGGTATGTCTTCAATACACTACAGCTACCAGGAAAATACTAATGTTCTTAAATACATTGACATTATAGAGCCACATTTTGAACTGAAACATGAATTAAAATATCATGGAGGGCTCTTAAAGAATGAGAAGTTACAATTTGGTAGCAAGAGTGGTTTAGACAACACTCATTACAGGTGATTGATTCTTTTCATCTCTGTAAAGAAATTATGTCTTAGTTGCCTGCTTCACCTGTCCATTCTGGAGAAAGTTGGTGTTTGATTTTTGAACAGTATTTATTGGGGGAATGAATTTAGTGTTTTGAGTTTAGAGGGATGAATAAGGGGTCATCCAGAAAGTACATCCGGCTTTTCTAAGATTACTTGAGTTAATTTACAAGAGATGGCGCCTGCGAGACTCGAGGTAGGCAGTCCCGTTGTGCACACATGCTCGACAGACAATATGTTGCCTACCCAGCAGGCGCTCTGCGAGCTTGCACACGCTGGACTCTGGACTTAGCAATTTCTTACAGCGTAATGACGTATGTACGTACTTTATGGATGATCCCAAAGTGTTTCAATGAGCTGATAAAGCAGCTAAGATGCAGTGGGGTGCTCATTGTGACTGTGTCAGGTGAGGTAGGTAATTTTGTCTGGGATTAATTAGAGCAATATTTTGGATTACACTTTTAAAAGAAACAGAAAACGTAAAAATTATTTATAAATATTTATTTATAAGCAAATTTCCTATCTAATTAGAAAGATAAGTCATGGTTAGGTAATGGTCTTGCGTGCTCCCTGGGTGGGTTGCATATCCTCTTGTGAGCATGCGTCGCGTTATACTGACGGTTGGAGTGGACCTCCTTATTCTGCGTGGTTCTTATTTCTGTAATATTATTCATATTTTCCTTTACAGATATCAATATGATGGAAATGCACGCCTCTCAGCTGTTGATGTGGACATCAACAGTAAACAGCTACCTCAAATACGTCTTAAACATAATCAAAATTTGGGCATGCTGGAAAGCATAAGTGATCTTCGTATATTCCGAAATATGTTTAATAAGTCTGTCATGCAAGATAATGCCAAACAATTTCTTACTATAATTGATTATGATAGTCATGGTCGTATAAAGTCTGTTCTCATCAACATAAAGGCTTTTGATGTGTTCAGGTACAGTGAGCTCAAGAATCATACCAAAACCATTGAATGACTTTTCAGTGTATAATCTAATACTTTTTTTAACAGGCTTGAGTTAGAGTATGACAAGAGGAATCGTATCAAGACCCAACAGTTCTTGATTGGGAGAACATCATCTATGGATCGTATAACTTATAATGCAGATGGACATGTAATGGAAGTTGTTGGAAGTGGTGCTAATAATTGGAAATTTGTGTATGATGAAAATGGAAATGTGATAGGGGCTATAGACCAAGGTCACAAACAGTCACTTGGATATGATTTGGGTGACCGTGTTGTACAAGTTGGTGATGTGGAACTCATAAATTATGACTCAAGAGGTTTTGTTATAAGACGAGGAGAACAAAAATATAGGTATAATCCAAGAGGACAGCTGACACATGCCTTTGAGCAAGATAAATTTTCGTCCTGGTATTCTTATGATGATAGGGGAAGAATGATTTCATGGAGAGATTCGCAGGATAATATAACTCAACTCCTGTATGCTTATCCTCACACACCTGACCTTGTGTCACACGTGCATTTCCCCAAAACAGGAAGAACTTTCCGCCTCCTCTATGATGACAGAAAGTTCCTCATCGCTGTTGAAACATCAGAACAAAGGTTCTACGTTGCATGTGACCAAAATGGCTCACCACTAGCTCTCTTTGATATAAATGGAAACATCATTAAAGAGGTGGGTATATCGAGTTTTAATAATTTTATTAGAGTGAATTTTGCATTTTCCCATCTATAATTTAAGTATTACTAAATATTTTTACTTTCACTCAGATCCGGCGAACTCCGTTTGGCAAAGTGCAAATGGACTCAAACCCTGACTTCTATTTGCCTGTTGATTTCCATGGTGGCCTGCTTGACCCCCATACCCAATTAATTTACATAAATGGGCGTCTTTATGACCCAAGTATTGGCCAGTGGATGACGCCTGCTTGGGAAGAATTAGCAAGCCAACTAACTGCCCCTACTGATGTATTCATCTACAGATTCCATAACAATGACCCCATAAATCCTCCTCAGAAGAGAGTTAACTACATGACAGGTAAGTTTGGAAGACCTTATTTCTCATAGAAAATCTTCTTCTAAATATGATGGGTACATAGAATTAATAAACTTTTCTCTTTCTATTTTCTAGATCTGCAAAGTTGGCTCAACTTATTCGGATATGATATAAATAGTATGCTTGGATCATTGTATACAAGCAGTGCAGTTTATCATCCAGTTGCTTCTGTAAGGAACACACAGCTTGCACCTGAGTTTGCTGTTATGTCTGGCTTGCAGTGTTTGGTGGATAAGGTTTGTATAGTGTTCAGAATGTACAATGGTGGCAGCTGCTTTCCAAAGCACTACAACAGTCTCTGCTAATATTGGTCTTACATTTTAGGTGTCACAAAAGTTCTCAGAATTAGGATTTGTTCCTGAACCTCTTTTGAAAATGGAAAGTCGAACAAGGAACTTACTGCCAAGAGTTGCCTATCGAAGAGCTATCTTTGGTGAGGGTGTTCTTATTTCAAGAGGCCCCAGTGGACGTGCACTCGTCAGTGTAGTGGACAATGTAAATGGTGTACTTCAAGATGTTGTTACATCAGTTTTCAACAACTCCCACTTTCTGGATATTCACTTCAGTCTACATGACCAGGATGTCTTTTATTTTGTAAAAGTAAGTCATGTTTGTGATTTGATTTTTCATTTGGATTATAAGAGAAAACATGTACTAAGTAACTGTTATTATTTTAATTTTACCAATTTCTAGGACAACCCTTTGAAAATTCGTGATGATATGGAGGAACTGAGGCGGTTGGGTGCTATGTTTAACGTGTCAACTCATGAAACTGCTGATCATGGTCAAAGCGGAACAAAGGAGTTAAGATTGCACAATCCAGATGCTGCAGTATTCATTCGGTATGGCATTAAAAATTATCTGCTCAAAAATAAAAGAATTGATGAATTTTTTAACATAATACTACAATCTTGACTTTATTTCAGCTATGGAACTGATCCAGATGTAGAGCGGCAGAGAATTCTTAAGCACGCACACAAACGGGCTGTTGAACAAGCATGGAAGTTGGAGAAAGCAATTGTATCTGCTGGATTCCGCGGACGTGGTGATTGGTCTCCAGAAGAAAGAGAAGAACTTATATCAAATGGTGTTGTTGGTGGATGGGAAGGTGTGGAATTGCACACTCTACATCGATATCCTCAACTGGCGGATGATCCAGGGAATGTTGCATTCCGAAGAGATGCTAATAGAAAACGCCGGAAGAGTGGAAATGGGAAACATCGTATCCATCGACATGACTCATGATTCCGTTCCATGTCTAAATTTTGTTCAAAGACTGATCTGTATCTTTAAACGCATGCAGTCAACTCTTGCTAAGTGTTGGCAGTAATTCCCCCATGCATTGGTTGCCAAGTGAGAAGACTATCATATAAATTCCATCAAGACTGAGTATAAATATATATATATTGTATATTATGAAATATATATATATATACATTTAATGGTATCAATAAATTGCACATAACTAAGCCACTTTTGTAAAAATTAAATGTTTCTTTTTGCTTTGTTTAGTTTTGAATCACTTCTTTGCAATATGAAAATTCTTCAACTTGAACTTCTCCAATAAGTCTGGCCTATTTTTGTTGAGTGGAGGAAAATTTGGAGCAGGATTTTAACAAGAGTAAGTTAACAACAGTACATTGTATTCGAAAAAAATAATTAAATTTAATGTTCCACACTAGTCATAATTATTTAAGATTCAGTGTAGGTGTTAAGAGGCAGAAAAACCTGAAACAATTTTAGGTAAAACATCTTCAGTGCTACACTAAAATAATCAGTACTGCCACGGTCTACATACCTAGTGTGAAGATTGAATGCTAGTCACACTAACCACTACTTTTGATTTATTTTATATTAATATGAATTTATAGAAATAATATATTTTTTTGTAAAACTATTGAAAATTGTTTGTTCTAAGGCCAAATCAAGATGTATAATTCTGTTCCTGTACAAGAAGCAGTTATCTTTTTATGTGTAAAATAAGGTGCCATGTGTATCCATTCGTAATTTCTCCCTAAGAGGAATTAAAGTGTACCATATCACTACAGCAATGTATTTGGGAAAAAAAGGTTGCTGTCGGCATATTTATTGAACACGCTAAACAATCCAAGTTAGGTAGATGAGCTGCCAGGTCCTTTATAATCATTATAGAGCTGCATCTCCTGCTACATTTGTTGTTCATCATTCATAGATTTTTGAAGCAGTTCTGCATAAGTATGAAAAACAAAGAAATGTATGATAAAGTGACAGGGTAGATGTGATTCTTTTTTACTGAACAGTGCTGATATTATGTGACCCAGTTGTAAGTCTTATGCATTCGTGTCTCAAGTCTTGAGAAAGTCATCACTACAAGAGCTGTACATATGGAAGTTATAAAGTTCATAACTACGTATAACACAGTATTGTAGTCTGTTATCATTTGTGTTGCCTGATTACTGTTAATATTTTAATGATTTTTTGTGCATGATTTTTGCTGTAAATAGTGTACATATTAAAGATAAGCTAAAACTCTTTTATATTATGAATCCATGTTACCAATCCTACAAAAATAGGGTATGTTGTGGAGAATGTTCATTGTAATTTAGATAAGTGTGCAAGATTTTAACTTTTATATACCCTGTGATGTAGTTGCTTTTTGTTTTAGGGCTTCATTGTTCTACTTTTAATTTGTTTATATATTTTTTCTCTTGTTAGTTACACATGATCTAGTGTATTTATACAAAAATGACTGTACATGAAATTAGGTATTTAAAAAAAAATAGTGGTAAAACATACAATGCAGGTTTCAAATAAAGACGGATCTTACCTAGAACTAAATTTACCTATTTGTACCCCATGTGTTCCTTCAGTAAAAAGAGAAATTTGTTTTACCATGGTTTTACTTCACTCTGTTTTTTGTTTTGTAGAACAGTTTATGATCTAGTTAGGTACCTCTGTTAATGAGCTTTTTGAATTCTTCTGTGTTTACTTTCTTTCATCATGCATTTTTGTTTAGGAAGACTAAATGATAAATCTTGTAGTCATCAGAATTGTTCTTTTTGTAACAATTTGAAAAAAAAATGCTTGTTTATTTTGAATTTACTGTTTCAGTGAACCAGAGCAAAACAGTGATATTTTTGCAGAAGGATATCGTGTGAGTTGAGGTACCGCAGAAAGCAATACTTAAAAGTAGTTATATTAAGTAAATTCTTTACGTGCAATTACTCCGAGAAAGGCCTTGTGTAAAAGAGCTCTGGGCCATCCTTTCTTAGAACTGGCTAATGTAGCATACATTTTGTGGACAGTGTCTTTTTTGAATGACTCACAAGTGAAAAAGGCCCTTTGAAGTAGAATTTCTCTTTATAAAGAAAAAGGAGTACCTAATGATTTACTGTGTATAGACAACTAGTGTAGTAAAAAATTGTGCTATGCCATCCCTAGCACTATGTGTTTGTAAATGCTGTTATCGGAATTACTTGGATGCCTATTAAAAAATAGATCCAGTCATTTAAAATAGAATCTGTTTTATTTCAAACATGTCCTATCTTCACCAAGCACCAAGGTCCTTACATACTTAGTACCACAGTGGATATGTGGTATCGTACAAGTGTACGTGTACTCTAATGCTAAACGGGTTGATCACGAGTAGATTAAGTGGATTAAAAATATTAAACACAACATAACGCACAATTCATCATGAGCTAAAAAGAAGAGTGGCTGCTGCGCAAGCGCTCTTCGGCGAGGCTGGGCAGGCCTCCGTCTCCACACAGCTGCATGGCGGGCTGGCCTACCCAGTGCGTCGCAGGCGCTACCATTCCACATCGCTCTAAGTAGCCATAGCCCACCCAAAGCTGTTCAGAGGCTCCTTCTCATTTTATCAATTTCTTTCGATTTCCTTCTAATGAATTGAGCGGACTGATTGTGTGATTAATTTGTCATTTATTTGCAATACTCCTGCAAATAAGCGCTATGCCAAATTAATTTTTGGCAATCTCCCTGGAAAAATGCCAGGTTTTGGTATAATTGATAGAGCCAAACTTTGACGTTATTCTTCCTAAGGTTACGTGAGATACGTGCAAGCAAGTGGGGAGTCAGGACAGCTCATGGCAATAACCCCCCCCCCCCCCCC